AGATGATACTGTGAAAGTACTGCACTCAATATGCCAGCAAATTTGGAAAACTCAGCAGTGGCCACAGGACTAGAAAAGGTCAGCTTTCATTCCAATCCCAAAGAAAGGCAATGCCAAAGAATACTCAAACTACTGTACAATTGCACTCATCTTACACACTAGTAATGCTCAAAATTCTCCAAGTGAGGCTTCAACAGTATGTGAACTGTGAAATTGCAGATGTTCAAGCTGGTTTTAGAAAAGGCAGAGGAATCAGAGATCAAATTGCCAACATCCACTGGATCATTGAAAAAGCAAGAGAGTTCCAGAAAAACATCTATTTCTGCTTTATTGACTATGCCAAAGTCTTTGACTGTGTGGATCACAATAATCTCTGGAAAATTCTTAAAGAAATGGGAATACCAGATCATCTGACCTGTTTCTTGAGAAACCTGTATGCAGGTCAGGAAGCAACAGTTAGAACTGGACATGGAGACTTTCTTCCTGATCGGCTTCCATAATGGGAGTGTCTGGACGAGCCAAAAGATGGGCCTGATAATCTATGTGAGCCTACTTCTGCTGACTCCAGAAATCCTGAGTCTGCCGTTTGATCCTCAAGACAATACCTTCCTGTCCTGGGCTCACTCCTATGCTGCATTCCACAGTCTAACTGCTGGGTCTGTGGACCACTCCGTTCTTCATCCGTGAAAGGCGTCCCATGGTGGACATCTCCACTTCAAGGAAAGGACTTTCTCCAAGTCTGCAAATACCTTCAACAATCGCATGTGATGCCTCTTCTTAAACTGATGACATCTAACAACCTTAAGATGGACTGATGTAACTATGGCCATAATGTGACTTTTCATTTTGATTTTAACTTGGTTTAATGACTATTTTGCCTTACATCTATCACTGTATAATGGGGTTTTCTAACCGTCTAAAAGCTTTTACTTTACAAATAGTTGCCCGAGCTCCTATCAGTGCCACAGCCTCCTCCAAATGTTACTTGGGGCCCCTGGATCAGACATCCTCACTATGAGGACTAGGAGAATATGTTGCCTCACCAATTTAGGGACAACGCCCCTTGTCAGCTCGGAAGCAGTTATGGAATGAGAACGACGCCCCTTTTCCCTAGGCAACATAATTCTCCTAAAAGGAAAGGGGGGGATGAGAGTCATTTCCTAGGCAGGTGGATAAGAAGTCTAGGGGTCCCCAAGGAGAGAGAGGTCTGGGATATTCAAGGAGGAAGAAAGGACAAACGTTTTTACTTTCTTTCCTCTACATTCCTTAGGATTATATAACAATAATGTATCCTGCCTGAGGACAGTCTTTGGATTAAACCCTCTGGCTAATTCTGTTATCTTAAAATGTAAATTATGGGAGTAGGTCTGGTCTTTACAAGGATGTATCCTGAGTGAGGACAATCTTTGGATTAAACCTTCTGGCCAACTCTGTTATCTTAAAATGTAAATTATGGGAGTAGGTCTGGTGAGGTCTTTACAACCTCCAGATATTCTTTGGGTTCATTGGAGAGTATATAACTTCATTGCTAACACTAGCAAACGAGGTCCTCTTTTGCCCCCTTCTGATGCCTATGTCAGAAGCTTTCTCTATCTCCTTTATACTTTAATAAAACTTTATTACACACACACACACACAAAAGAACTGGACATGGAACAACAGACTGGTTCCAAATAGGAAAAGGAGTAGGTCAAGGCTGTGTATTGTCACCCTGCGTATTTAACTTCTGCGCAGAGTAAGAAAATGTTTGCTGCCCTCTAGAGCAGCACGGGTAAGGGATGCACAGTTGGCGCGGCTGCCTCGTGCAGCAGATTGCCTGGGCTCCAAAGTGCCTGTCGTTTAGCAGCCGTTGACATGGTCGACAGGAAGGCCCTTAGACGGGGTGGTCCTTGGCGGCCTACTCAAGCAAAGCAAAACCGCAAGCCAGAGTCAGCACACTAGGATTCAAGAGAATGAAACTCAGGACCAAGCCGTCACAACAGCCAACGAGCCTTTCCCAGAGAAGGCAACCGCTTCAGCCACAGTCGAACGGCTTCCTTGCTTCGCCTTCAGGCATTCTCTATAAACACTGCACGCCCCACCCCACCGGCTTCTGTCCGTCGAGCTTTGCTAACTGTCTTTGGTGGCTGCTGTCTGACCCCTGGAGAAGGCAACGGCACCCCACTCCAGGACTCTTGCCTGAAGAATCCCGTGGACGGAGGAGCCTGGTAGCCTACAGTCCATGGGGTCTCGAAGAGTTGGACACGACTGAGTGCCTTCACTTTCACGCACTGGAGAAGGAAATGGCAGCCCACTCCAGTGTTCTTGCCTGGAGAATCCCAGGGACGGGGGAGCCTCCTGGGCTGCCGTCTATGGGGTCGCACAGGGTCAGACACGACTGAAGCGACTTAGCAGCAGCAGCAGTCTGATCCCAAGAGATGGATACTCAAGTAAATCTTTTTTTAAAGCCATGCCATGAGGCTTCTGGGCTCTTAGTTCCTGGACCAGGGTTTGAACCCACCCCCATGCAGTGGGAGCCAGGAGTCTTAACTGCACTGGGAAGTCCCCCAGGTAAACTGCTTTAATCTGCCTCAGTTTAACTTTTAACAGAGTAAGAGATCTTAGGCGTATTTTTAGATTATTTAAACTCCGTAAGGGCTAGTCTCTTATGTTAGACAGGAACAATAATTATACTGACCTCATGCAGCTGTTGAGATTGAATTAAGTTAGGTAACACAAGTAAAGCTCTAAGAATAGCAGAGACAATAAATAGAAGCTGTTAGGAGAATCTAATAGAACTCTAACTCCATTTTGTCAATGTTTCTTTTTTGAAAAGTCCTGAAAGGGTCTCTAGCTTATAGGTAACTACATTCAGCAACATTTCTTCACACTCTCATTAGCTGTAGACTTGCTCCAACAATCCTGACTTCATTAAAATTGTAATTATTTCCTTAATTCCATTTCCTTTATCTACTTCTTTAACTTAATCCCCCATGCTGGCTGCCGAGGCCCTGGGAATCAGGGAGAACCTCTTATGAGATAGTTTTCAACAAGGAAAAAAAAAATACTTAAGAGCCAGATAGAGTCAGGAAAAATGAACAGTGAGCGAATTATCAAACGTGTGTGGCAAACCAAATTTTTAAAAGATGACCAGAAATACGTCTGGGAGAAGCAGGGTGAACGAGAAGGATGCGAAGGGAACACAGAGCCAAGTGCGCCCCCGCAGAACCACCAGCGTGCAGTCACTGTGTCCCCCACCCACTCGCTAATCCTCAGCCGAACTCAGTCCTCCTCCCCCAGTGTTTCTTCACCCCCGAGAACAACACATCTGACCAGCAGTGTCCCTGGAGACCCCAACCACCTCAGATGGAGGCAGGATTTCAGCAAGACCTTCGGGGTTTCATTGGTCAATCTCTGTTTTAGGAAAGTATGCACTTTTTGGAAGGAGCATTCCTGGGACTTAGCAAAAACACCTTTTTCCCCCCAGTGAAAATAATCATTTTGGAAGGACCAAGCCTCATGCCTGGCACTGAGAACATACGCAATCAATGTTAATTTGCTTCCCCTTGTAGAAAGAATTCCATCCCAAGAATCAGGGTTTATTCCTCTATCCATGGGTTCAACATATATTTCTTAAGCATGAGCTATGTTCTAGGGTCTGGAAGATGGGATTGCCAGATTCAGTAAGGAAAAATATAGACCATCCAGTCAAATTTTAATCTAAGCTAGACAATGGACATTTTTAAGTATAATCACATCCCATGCAATACATGTATGCTAAAAAAAATTATTGTGTATCTGAAATTCAAATTTAATTGGATCCTATATTTTATCTGGCAACACTACTGAGAATAGCATTGAGACCAAGACAGACCCCATCCCTCATATAGCTTTATAGCAAGTCTAGCCTCAGAAGCTCACAAGACTCAATTCCCATCTGGCATTTTCCCAGTGGGAAAGTCTAGGGAACAGAGTGACCATCTCTTTAGAAGCACATCACTTCTGGGGGCCCATTCAGCAGATACCACACTGTATTGGAATTATGTCCTTATTTCCTCGTCACGCTCCTCTGCATGTAAGGTCCTTGGTGACAGAGGCTGTGCCTTTCATCTCTCTGTCTCCTGACTTTGCCTCGCAAGGGCCCTGGGAAGAGCAGATGCTCAGCACAGACAGCTGAATGAATGAGTGAACAAACACATACACGGTTGGGTCTATCAGATGCGATGCTCAGGGCTCACAAGGAAGATATTCACACACCTTCAGAAACACTGGAGATACCGAGAAATCCATACAGCCAGAAGCCCAAGACCACATGGGTGAAGAACAATCTTTTATTTTAAAACGTTTTCGGAAGGTACACGGAACAAAATAAAAGCTTTCTTAAAAGGGAGGGAGAGGGGAGATGGTGTAAGAAATTGTAACCCTGGCAAATAATATAAAGGGTTCTTGGAAAGGTGACTTTTTAATGTAATAGGTCATACTGAGTCAAAGCACTGATTTAACTAAGTGGGGATATAATAAAATACGATGGCCCATAGTAAAGCAGAACCATAATATTAATAACTGAGGAATATGGTATGAACAAATAACAAATAATTAAAAGCCATTTTATTGTCAGTACTGTCACACAATTGAAACACTCAGAAGGAAAAGAAATCACAAGAATCCGCAAGAGGATAAACTCAGGGCGGTGCAGGGGACACGGGATCTACAATAGAAAAACCACTTAGCGGCGTCAGTTCCTTTCTGTCCGGCCGTAAAAGAGGGAACAAAAGGTCGATATCTATAGAGCAGGTTTCAAGTATGCTAATTTTTTTTTTTTTTAAGGAAGAAAAGGGGAAAAAACAAAGACAGGAAGAAAAGAAAAAGACAGAGTGATGCAGAGTGTCCCAAGGACCACACAGGTAGGCAGGACGTGGAGCTGCTCTCCGGCACGGCGTCCTGGGCGCCCTCTGCCCGGCCGGGGGGATCTGTCGCTGACACATCTCACCCGTGTCACCAGGCGATTCCTGCCAGTCCCGTCAGTGCTCAGATGGGTAGGTGGGAAAAGTCTCTGTTCGATGAAGCTTCAGAGGGCTGGTGACACCTTTTCCAAAAGAGATTTCAAAATCAGCAGTTACATTTCAAGAAAGCCCACAACCAGGTTAGCTCATCACAAGTTTCTGTATAACAGAAATAAGTAACATAGGATACAGAATGTTTCTCCCCCAGAGGCTACTCACAAGGATATGCAAAGGAGAGTCCTGAAAGACAGTGTGATTAATGCATCACTTGCATGTGGCCTTTGCACTGGCTATGTGCAAACAGGGCTTCCCAGGTGGCTCAGCGGTAAAGAACCCTCCTGCCAATGCAGGGGACACGGGTCCCATCCCTGGGTCGGGAAGATCCCCTGGAGAAGGAAATGGTAGCCCAGTCCAGGATTCTTGCCTGGGAAATCCCAGGGACAGGAGAGCCTGGCAATTACATTCTGTGGGGTCGCAAAGAGTTGGAAACAACTTAGCTACTAACCAACAACAACATGATCAAACCAGGAGCAATTAGGGACAACCTCCTCCTTAACATTTTATCTTTATCAACTAACTCCTACACTTGAAAGATTTAGGGAAAACGAGATACAATCAAGGGTGGGGAATCTTTTGGGGAGAACACCTTTTGGAAACCAGGCCAGAAATAAGACAATATTGTATTTATTGCTAGGAAATCCTGCAGTAAAGGAAGACCTCTTAAAAGACACACAGCCTTTATTATTTCAGGTTTAAGTTCCAAAGCAAGGACAATGAAGACGTCAGGAAGGCCAGGTCAGGAAGAAGTCACACAAGGCCACCGCGAGTCTCCGCTGTGACACAGGACGGGCTGGCGCACTTTATAAGAGGCCAGTATTTTAGATTCTGTGGAGTGTGGTCTCACAGCAGCTGCCGAACTCCACTGCCTGCAGCACAACACCAACCAGTTAGTCTGTAAGGAATGGGCGTGAGGGTTCCCACACTGCTGCTGCTGCTAGGTCGCCCAGTCGTGTCCGACTCTTTGAGACCCCGTGGACTGCAGCCCACCAGGCTCCTCCATCCATGGGATTTTCCAGGCAAGAGCACTGGAGTGGGGTGCCATTGCCTCCTCCGGAGTTTCCCGTGAAAGGTTGTAAGCAGAAACACACAGCAGCTGGATCTGCGCAGGAGGCCAGTTGGCCGATTCTTGTGGACAGAGCGCTTGATCTGAGCAACACGAGAGGCGTTCCACTGCCATCTGCTGGCTGAGGGTTGCTGTGGTCCAGTTGCTAAGTCTGACTCCGCAACTCCATGAACTGTGCCTGCCAGGCTCCACGGTCCTTCACCATCTCCCGGAATTTGCTCAGATCCATGTCCACTGAGTTGGTGCTGCCATCCAACCATCTCGTCCTCTGTCGCCCTCTTCTCCTCCTGCCTTCAATCTTTCCCAGCATCAGGGTCTTTTCCAATGAGTGGGCTCGTCACATTAAGCGATCAAGGGTTACCACACGCAAAGGAATTTACAACGCAGATCAGGTGATCAGGTGAACAGCCCTCAGAGGCGAACAAAGCAAAACCTACACCACAGTTCAGACTTCCTGGAACCAAACTCGGAGCTCAAGCCGGTCTAATAGCACAGGGAGATGGCACCCCAGCGAAGCAGAGCGTGCCCGCCCCACCAACACGCGCTCGGAACGCGGGACCGAGCAGGGAGGTTGGCGGTGGCACTGGCCCTACGCCCTAAGCTGCATCTCCTCATCCCAACAGCCCTGGGCTCCATCACGGCCCCGTCTAGTCCCTTTCTGACATAAGAAATCGTGACTTCAGATATTTGCAAGCCTCAAATCTGAACCATAAGAAAACTATGTATGTAGTCATACAGTCACTGGTGCCTATAGCGGTGCCTGTCATTAGAGAAGTTACAGCATTAAATATCCCAGTCACTATAGATCATTCCTTCCAGCTTCCCAGTCATTCGACGCATGAATTCAACTCTCTTTCCAACACATACACACACAAATGCGTGCAAAGGTCACACACAGAGGTCACACGCTGGCACTGGCCTGTGCACACGATGTGTGCCAAGCCCTGTCCTCTGGCCTGTTGGGGCACAGAGCACGCGGGATCGCTCATAGAAATCTGAGTAACTGCACCAGGGCTGACGGCCCGTTCCCTGGCCTGCACGGGGCACAGAGCACGCGGAATCGCCGTCGACATCTGAGTAACTGCACAAGCGCTGACAGCCCGTTCCCTGGCCTGCACGGGGCTGAGCACGCGGGATCGCTCATAGAAATCTGAGTAACTGCACCAGGGCTGACGGCCCGTTCCCTGGCCTGCACGGGGCACAGAGCACGCGGAATCGCCGTCGACATCTGAGTAACTGCACAAGCGCTGACGGCCCGTTCCCTGGCCTGCACGGGGCTGAGCACGCGGAATCGCTGTCGACATCTGAGTAACTGCACAAGCGCTGACAGCCCGTTCCCTCGGCCTGCACTCTCCCTTTAGCAGGGAGCCCACCTCGCCCACACTGGCGTGTCCTCCTGGCCCCTACAGACACACGAGCGTGGACCCCGGCTTATTTGTCATCTTTCTAATTTGCTGGGATCTTAAGCTACTTCTCCCTTACTAGATGCACACAATGTACGTAGCTGTGTTAGAATTCATATTGAAAAACCAACATTATAGAGAACAGACTGGGGTTGTCAAGGGGGAGGCTGGGGACAGGTGGTGGGAGTTTGGGGTGAGCAGAGGAGGGACAGGCACGCTCCACCGTACAGCACAGGAAGCTACAGTCGATGCCTGTGACAGACCATAATGGAGAAGAGTATTAAAGAAGGCACAGGCGCCAGGGGTAAAAGAACCTGCCTGCGAGTGCAGGAGACATAAGAGACCTGGATTCCATCCCTGGGTCGGGAAGATCCCGTGGAAGAGGGCATGGCAGCCCACTCCAGTATTCTTGCCTGGAGAATCCCATGGACAGAGGAGCCTGGCGGGCTACAGTCGAGGGGGTCACAAAGAGTCGGACACGACTGAAGCGACTTAGCACACACACACGTGTGTGTATAAAACTGAATGCATACACATACATGTATAACTGCATCACTCTGCAGTACAGCAGAAATTAATACAGCATTGTAAACCAACTATACTTCAATAAAAGATAAATTTTAAAAAAGAAAGAAAACCCAAGGTTAAGCCCTCCAAAGTAACCACTGTTCAAAAAACCTATCCTCCTTAAGATAAAAATGTAAATTGCACGACCTGGAGCCAACCCTCTGGAGGAGCTATTTCCATCACATGGTATTCACTTTGGAAACACCCCCGGTGGCATAATTTGCACCCAAAGGCAAGCATATACAATAAAAGAAAGGCGCCTAAACCAGCAATCAGAATGCTGGAGTTTTACGTCAGCCCGTCCACCCACTGGCCATGTGATCTCAGGCAAGTATTGACCTCCAAGGGTCTCAGTTTCTGCCTTCATTGAAATGGAGTCTCTGGCCAGCTCTAACTGCTGCCAGATGAGCCAGGAAAGGCGACAAGGAGGGCGCCCATAGAGTGAGACAGACATCTGATGCCGCTCCTTGATTTCCTAAGATTATCCAAAATCACACTGGATCAATGATATACGTGCCTATGTTTTTCTCATTTTTGCTTTGAAACAAGGGACACTCTTCAGAGGCAATTTCTACAGAAGAGTTCTAAATATGTTGAGAAATGCAGCGCCTTAGGATTAAGCCAGAATTCCTAAGATGTTAACTTAAAGAAGGAGGTGAGGGAGTTTAAGAAGAACACTGCAAGAAGCTGGACACGCCCAGCTCTCTCCTAAAAGCCTTTATGCACCAGCCACACCACCTCCTTTCAGCTCTTCGAACACCCAGGCTCCTTCCCGCCCCAGGGCCTTTGCATATGTTGGTTTCTCTGTGGATAATGCTTTTTCCTGGCTATTGACGGACTCCTCTTTTCAGACACCAGGTCTTGGGGTAAATGGGGCAGCCCCTCTGAAGAAGTCCCTTTGTCACCTTCCTCTCCAAACTGACAATTCTGCTTTACCATTCTTTACTACAAACACTTCCTTTTCAATATGACATGGACCAAATCTGAAATTAAATATGCATGTGTAATTATTGACTGTGGCTCTCCTTCCGACTATAACCAGTAGGACGCAGGAACAAGCCTGTGTAGTAGCCCCAGGGTGGCTCCATCAACTAGCACAATGCTCGGCATAAAATAGAGGCTCAACTAACATTGATCAAATAATGAATGAATGGACAGACGAAACCCTCACTTCCACAACACAGGTGATCTTGGACACATTACTAACTTCAAATTAATAATTTGAAATTCTGAGTAATTAGTAATTTGAATTCCTTTAAGTTCTGTGTCTTAGCGGCACAAGGGAATAAAATACTCCCGGGTAGCTGCTTTGCAGACTAAATGAGATCATGTATATTACGTTCTGGCTTTCCTACTGTCTCAGTCGGTAATGCATCGGCCTGCAGCACAGGAGACCCGGGTTCGATCCCTGGGTCGGGAAGATCCCCCGGAGAAGGGAATGGCTGCTCACCCCAGTGTTCTTGCCTGGGAAACCCCAGGGACAGAGGAGCCTGGAAGAATATAGTTCATGTGGTCGCAGAAGAATCAGACACTACTTAGCAACTAAACCACCACCACAACATCAAGTTCCTAGTGCAAAGACAGAAACACAGTAGGTCCTCAAGAAACAATAGCTTTTATAAAGATATTCAGTGAGTATGTCCTATCTCCCTTGAAAGGAACAAACCTGGCACTTTACTAGTGGTATATTAACATTAGTTTATATAAAAAAAGGAGAGAGAAGATTGCATGTTCAAATTTGCAGAGCTCTGGCTTAACCAAGATTAAACAGATTTGTTTTTTACTGAAGGACATCTCAGAGTCTTGAAAATACTGATTTGCTTTCTGAATCTCCTAAAGAATTTAACATGTAGCACAAACCAGTCCATCCTAAAGGAAATCAGTCCTGAATATTCATTGGAAGGACTGACGCTGAAGCTGAAGCTCCAATACTTGGCCACCTGATGCAAAGAACTGACTCATTGGAAAAGACCCTGATGCTGGGAAAGACTGAAGGTGGGAGGAGAAGGGGACAACAGAGGGTGATATGGTTGGATGGCATCACCGACTCAATGGACATGGGTTTGGGTGGGCTCCGAGAGTTGGTAATGGACAGGGAGGCCTGGCATGCTGCAGTCGATGGGGTTGCAAAAAGTCGGATACGACTGAGCGACTAAAACACTGATTTTGCCCCCAATTATTGGATCCTAGTACTTTTTTGGAGGAGAGTAATATCAACCAGGGTTAGGACAACATAGAAGACAACTGGAAAAAGGTGACTCATTTTATACAATGAATTCTTAGAAGAATTCTGTGAATACAGGGCTCAACATATGGTTGAGTGCATCTATGTCATGTATTTTTTCCCAGTTCTCACGATGAACCTCACATGTTAATTCTATAAGTGCCTAAGCAGAGAAGAGAATTTAGTTTTGAAAACTGGAAAATGGGGCGGAGGAAGCAGCGAAGGTAGATGAGCACATCTCAGTGTACGCGGGCATGTCACACACAGCACGCTCCTCTCCTCACAGCAGTAATAAAGCGGTAAGTCCAAACATTAACCAGTAGGTGGCTCTCTAGCACTAAATTTGGAGAGGAAAAAAATTTTTCAAACCTCTTGGATACATTCCCTCAAAAAGGTCTGTATGATTTCCAAGGTTAGCCACTGGATCTATCAGAAAAAAATCAGTCTGAAATACACTAGGGTAGGTGAATTGGCCAGAGGTATTACAACTCATGGATACCAGCAAAACAAGAAGATACGATGCGCTGTGTAATCTCATCATGTGAAATACACAGGGCCATGATGTTACTCATTTTCTCAATTTCATTTTTTTTCTGGGGGTGGGCAGAAGGAAGAAAGGCAGGTGGGACAGGTGGAATGCATGTATGGGTGCTCAGTTGCTCAGTCCTGTCTCTTTAAAACTGCAAGGACTATAGCCCGCCGGGCTCCTTTGTCCATGGAACTTCTCAACAAGAATACTCGAGTGGGTAGACATTTCCTCCTCCAGGGGATCTTCCCAACCCAGGGGTGGAACCCGTGTCTCCCGAGTCTCCTGCATTGCAGGCGGCCTCTACCACTGAGCCACTAGGAGGCCTCATAGGTGGGACAGGTGAACGTTTCCCATTTATTTGTTAGGTGGATGACCACCCCTGAGACGTGAGATAATTCTATGTAGTCTGAACATTTTTTTAAAAATCTATCAAATTTATTGGTAAATTAAGTTTCCAAGCTATTCAATATATACACAGCACATATTAGCACCGTATCTCAATGAATACTGGTGACTAAAAAGCAATCCCAAGATAAAACAAATATAGACAAATCTACACAGAACATGCTGATGAGGTACTATCTCGGAAACATTGGTTAAAAATTAAGTATCAAGATAAAATACATTTACATTAATTCCTATATAGGTAACAAAAGTAGTATGTGAAAATAAATAATTTGATGAAATAATTGATACAAAACATAAAGCAGAAAAAAAAACCCTAAAGCAATTACAATGCCATTCTCGTGCACAGAAATATTCTAAGATAATAGGATATTTCATTGAGTATTAGCGTGCAGTCAAAACAGGAAAAATGTAAGAATTCTATTGGAAGCTTGGGTTCAATGAAGGTTATACTATGTAACAAACAATCATAGTTTTAATTATCATCTTCAATGCTAGAACAGAATCACCTTCAAAACCCTATAAAATTACCAGTCACAAAGTTTGATAATCCATCATCTCTGCAGGAATTCCGTGGCCTTTTTTTGTTATCACTGGAACTTATTTCATCAGAAACTAAGTAATCACTATCTTTAAATTACTGTCTTGTAAGTACTACTACTGTGTTCATTTGTAAAATCTATACCAATAAACTTGAACTTAATTTTATAGTAATGCAGGCAGACCTTGTTTTCTGCTTCACTGCATTATGCTTTACAGATGTTGCATTTTGTTAACTTTTAAACATTTATCTTGACTGAGTATTTCTGGGCCTCATCATGCAGCATTCAGGATCCCAGTTCCCCAACCAGGGATGGAACCCATGCCCCCTATAATGGAAGCAGCATAGATTCTTAACCACTGGATGGCCAGGGAAGTCCCTAAATATTTTTTAAATTGCAAATTTGTGGCTATCCTATGCTAAGTGAATCTGTTGGAACCATTTCCCCAACAGCACTTGCTCACTTCATGTCTCTGTGTCACATTCTGGTAATTCTCGAAATATCTCCAGCTTGTTCATTATTATTATACTTGCTTTAATGACCTGTGATTGGTTATGTTTGATGTTACTACTATGACCTACTGAAGGCTTATATGACTTAGATGATGGTTAGCATTTTTTAGCAATAAAGTGTTTCTTAATTAAGGTATGTGCATCTTTTTAGACATACAAGCTGTTGCACACTTAATAGACCACAGACTAATGTAAACATAACTTTTATATGCATTGGGAAACCAAAAAATTTCATGTGACTCGCTTTATCACTATATTCTCTCTATCGTGATAGTCTGGAACCAAAAGTGAAAGTGAAGTTGCTCAGTTTGCGATCCCGTGGACTGGAGCCCACCCGGCTCCTCCATCCATGGGATTCTCCAGGTAAGAAAACTGGAGTGGGTTGCCATTTCCTTCTCCAGGGGATCTCCCTGACCCAGGGATTGAACCCCGGGTCTCCTGCATTGCAGGCAGATGCTTTACCCTCTGAGCCACCAGGGAAGCTAATATATATCCAAAGTCCGCCTGAATCTCATTACTTTTGAGTGTTGGGTTATAAAAATAATAAATAACAAACCTAAATATAAAGGCTTATCAGACAAACCCAAGTCCAATTCTGATGAGCTGTTTGGTTTGTGACTTGCTGTATTTTACAAAAACAACACAAACTTCTCAAAGGTGATTTTTCTCCTTTGTGGATGTTTTGTGTTGTTCTGCTCCATGTCTAGAGGTAACATTATCACCACTGTTTTTCTGGAATTAGTGGGTCACTAGTCCTTGGTGATGATCCCAGACTCTTTCAGCTATGTATGGTTTTCCAACCATATGGGCTTTTTGCATGCAAGTAAATTTGCATTTTTTGTTGTTATGGTTGAAGAAGTTGTGTATATGCTGGAAAACAGAGTTGTTTTCTTTATGCAGACAGATGCAGACACTGTCAGAGGTAGCTTTATAAACCCAAGGAGTGCACAAGCCATATGCTAGCAGCATCTAAAACATCTGCTCTGAACTGAAGATTTTAAAAATTATTACTAAACCGTCAGGGCCCTGGAAAGACCTTTAGTCTTCAGTCATTTCTGATGAATGCCGACTTGTTTTGATAAAAGGGAGCTAGGTTAGTTAAAATAAGAATTGTAAAATGAGTGTCTCCTTCATGTGACATCTACTCTGTCCAGATTGCCCTGAGGATGTTTCATTTTCGGCCTTCCCACATGATAGGCAGGGTCTCAGGGCCCTAACTAGGGATGCAGCCCATCGCCCCTGCCTCAGAAGCACGGGGTTCTGGGGGGAAGGGGACTAACCTGTGTGGGCAGCATCATGAGGGCTGAGCCCGCCCCCTCCCGGAGCCCCGCCCCCAGCCCCGCCCCGGAGCCCCGCCCTCGCCCCGCCCCCTGACCCCGGTGCCCAGCCCTCGCCCTCCGCCCCGCCCCGCCCCCGGCCCACTCACCTTGCAAGCGGTACAGCTGCCCGGTGCTGTGCTGCCGGGTGATGTGCTGCCAGTAGGCGCTGCGAGGCAGGGGCACCATGGTGCTCAGCGAGGCGGCCCGCTCGCTCATCTTCACCTGGAGCTGCGACGGAGGAACAGAGGGCAAGTCAGCAACCCGGGGCTGCGAGGGCCGAGCCGGGGAGCCGCCCCCAGGGAGATTCACCCGGGAAGCCTCCCCTAGGAGATCCACCTGAGGAGCCCCAATCCAGGGAGATCCACCCGGGGGGCCTTCCACCCGGGGAGCCCTCCACCCACAGAGCCCCCCCCGGGAGCTCGAGGGCCGCGGAGCCGGCCATGCAGAGCCGGCGGGCTGGCCCGTGGGGGAGCACAGCTGTCGCTTTGCTGACTTGGCAGCGCCGCTTCTTCGCACGTGGCAGCAGCGCATTGATTTTCCAGGCGAGAACTTCCCGCGACTCAGCTCAACCCACCTGGTCAAGGTGGGCGGACCCCACTACGGATTCTGGGGTGGCCCAGAGACCCGAGTGAGGCCAGTAAGACACAATCCCTGGGGTCATTTATTAGAACTTTAGTGGAAGAGACAAGCCAGAGAGGTAAGTTAAGGGTGTTTGCCTGCTTCAGTCATTGCTGAATCCCAGGCTCTAGATTATCTCCTGACATGGTGGGTACAGACGAGACACTTCCGGGGTTGAAGGTAGGAGCTTTCTTGTGGGGTTGACAGGGGGACAGGAGATGGGCCTGGGGTCTATCCTGGCACAGTAAGAAAGCACAAGGCAATCAGTGGACACTACTCTGAGGAAGAAAGCCAGGGAGAGTCCTGACAAGTTCCACGGAGGCCTTGGCTCCTACCTGAGCCCAGAGGCTAGCGGGAGACCTCTCACTTAAACCGGCCCATTACTTCTCAGTCTAAGCTGATAGGAGCTGGGTTTTAGTACTAGCATGGGACTTCCTAGGTGGCGCTAGTGGTAAAGAATCTGCTGGCCAAGCCCCGAGATTCAGGAGACTGGGGTTCCCTCTCTGAGTCAGGAAGACCCCTGGAGGAGGAAATGGCAACCCGCTACAGTATCCGTGCCTGAAGAATCCCACTGCCAGAGGAGCCCCGTAGGCCACAGTCCATGGGGCAGCAGGGTCAGACACAATTGAGCACTCACGCTATCACCAGCAGAAGAAAAACTGTCTGCTTCCACAAGTGGCTGATCCCCTTCCAGATACTGATGGGGACAGAGGAAGCTGTGGCTTTTGGCTCCAAGTATCTAAGAGGATCCATCCTAAAAGATACAGTGTGAAGTTCCAGGCCCTCGGGGGGAAGTCGGTTGTCTGTCCGACTACACTGGGGGATGATTCTGAGAGAAGGCAGCTTAGCGGGACGAGCGGGGCCTGACTAGAGGCATACAGGGACAAGGCAAGAAGAAGAGAGGGTGGGGTGTGATCTGAGGCAGCTGTCCAGCCTCCCCTCCCCAAGCCCTGATCTGGACACAAACATGACATCCTTCTATTGTGTCATAACACAGAAGTGACTCTTTGATGTCCTGGAGTTGCCTGAATATCAAATGACCCACCCCAGTCTTGTAAAAATGTGTCCAGAAATAGATGGATTTAGACAAGAATGGGCATTAGGAGACAGCCTGCACTCACGGAAAACTATGGGCAACATGAGCCTCCATGTCTCAGGGCCTGGCTAACTGCAGAGGCACACTGCAGTACATGGGAACTGCAAATCAGAGGACGGCAGACTTACTTCAACTGAAAAGGAAACACTGACATATTGTACCATCAAGGAAAAGTGAACCGCAGACCATTCTATCTAGTGGAATGCCACCTTAATTGCTCATCTGAGAAAAGCTGGTATTAAATATTTATCCATTTGGGTTCAGTGAGATAATGCCTGCTTAGCACTTGCCTAGACAAACCAGACACAGGGAAAATGAAGTATATTATTGGAAAATGAAGTATATTATTACGATGAGTATAAACTGCAATGCCCACCAAAAGATTTTTTAAAACTCCCCACTCTATACGTCTCATTATCATAGTAGTCTCAGGCATAATATCTGCACATGCACTCAACAAAGCCAAAATAATACAAGACTTCACACCCTGGAAACCAAAACTCATTGGAGTTGATGTGGTGGTTTAGTTGCTAAGTTGTGTCTGGCTCTTACGACCCCATGGACATTAGCCTGCCAGGCTCCTCTGTCCATGGGATTCTCCAGGCAAGAATACCACAGTGGGTTTGTCATTTCCTTCTCCAGGGGGTCTTCCCAACCCAGGAACTGAACCCAGGGCTCCTGCATTGCAGGAAGATTCTTTACCAACTGAGCTATATAAGGGTAGCCCGATGAGACCGACTCCAAAGACAATTTTAATTTACATATCTTGCATTAACATGTGATGGATTGAATTCTCTCTTTACCACAGCAGCACAATTATCTAAATGTGTCCAAGTAATTATATAGCACTAGATTTTGTGGGGACATTTTTTTCCTAAACATGTCCTGTTAAATCAAAAGGGTAAACAGTTGAAAACAATGGCTAGAAGAAAAGTTCTGTGGCTGTTTTTCTACTTCTGCAGAAATGAAAGTCTCGAAATTTAAAAGTAAAAACCAAAACCAACCAACCAAACAAAAAAACCAATTTACCAGTGACTTGTAGTGACATTCAGCCTCATGAACATGGAGTACAAGAAAATAAAGAGAGGAAAAGAACCAAATATTCAAGGTACTGATTATCTGCTTTTCTTAATATAAAGCAATTATAGTTAAGACAATAATATTTTTAATACAAAGAAAATATTTGGGAAGTAGCCATCACTTCAAATTACTCACTACTTTACTGTGAGCATATTTCTGCAGCCCGGCATGGTTTGATTATATTTTTAGAACGCTTATTTAGGAACAAAAATAAAATGGCACTGATGTCATGTGTCATAGAGAACATTAATAAAGCCTGGTCTCTTTCTTCCTCAAACCTTTGAAAGAACATCTAATTTTATGAAAGGAGCATTTTAATTGTCTTTAGAGAAAAGTGCTAAGAAGAGTCTTCTTAGTTAACACTGCAAAAATGTCTGAATTCTCGAAGCCTGAGAAGACTCGGGAAGTCACGCGATGAAGCACCAGTCAGAAGGTGCCCCCTCACCCCGCCCCACTGCCACAGGGACCCCCACCTCTGATTCCAGAAGATTCCCCCTCACCCCGCCTCACTGCCACAGGGACCCCACCTGATTCCAGAAGGTTCCCTGCTCAACCCGACCTACTGCCACAGGGACCCCACCATTGATTCCAGAAGATTCCCCCTCACCCTGCCTCACTGCCACAGGGACCCCCACCTCTGATTCCAGAAGGTTCCCCCTCACCCCGCCTCACTGCCACAGGGACCCCCACCTCTGATTCCAGAAGATTCCCTGCTCGCCCCGCCCCACTGCCACAGGGAACCCACCTCTGACTCCAGAAGGTTCCCCCTCACTTGCCTCACTGCCACAGGGACCCCACCTCTGATTCCAGAAGGTTCCCCCTCACCTGCCTCACTGCCACAGGGACCCCCACCTCTGATTCCAGAAGGTTCCCCCTCACCTGCCTCACTGCCACAGGGACCCCACCTCTGATTCCAGAAGGTTCCCCCTCACCTGCCTCACTGCCACAGGGACCCCACCTCTGATTCCAGAAGGTTCCCCCTCACCCCGCCTCACTGTCGCAGGGAACCCACCTCTGATTCCAGAAGGTTCCCCCTCACCTTCCTCACTGCCACAGGGAACCCACCTCTGATTCCAGAAGGTTCCCCCTCACCTTCCTCACTGCCACAGGGAACCCACCTCTGATTCCAGAAGATTCCCCCTCACCCCGCCTCACTGCCACAGGGACCCCACCTGATTCCAGAAGGTTCCCTGCTCAACCCGACCTACTGCCACAGGGACCCCACCATTGATTCCAGAAGATTCCCCCTCACCCTGCCTCACTGCCACAGGGACCCCCACCTCTGATTCCAGAAGGTTCCCCCTCACCCCGCCTCACTGCCACAGGGACCCCCACCTCTGATTCCAGAAGATTCCCTGCTCGCCCCGCCCCACTGCCACAGGGAACCCACCTCTGACTCCAGAAGGTTCCCCCTCACCTGCCTCACTGCCACAGGGACCCCACCTCTGATTCCAGAAGGTTCCCCCTCACCTGCCTCACTGCCACAGGGACCCCACCTCTGATTCCAGAAGGTTCCCCCTCACCTGCCTCACTGCCACAGGGACCCCACCTCTGATTCCAGAAGGTTCCCCCTCACCCCGCCTCACTGTCGCAGGGAACCCACCTCTGATTCCAGAAGGTTCCCCCTCACCTTCCTCACTGCCACAGGGAACCCACCTCTGATTCCAGAAGGTTCCCCCTCACCTTCCTCACTGCCACAGGGAACCCACCTCTGATTCCAGAAGGTTCACCCTCACCTGCCTCACTGCCACAGGGAACCCACCTCTGATTCCAGAAGGTTCCCTGCTCACCCCGCCCCACTGCCACAGGGACCCCCACCTCTGATTCCAGAAGGTTCCCTGCTTACCCCGCCTCACTGTAGCCGGGGCTCCACCTCTGATTCCAGAAGGTTCACTATAGCAAATGCTGATTCCTAGGCCAGAGGACTCCCCCGACTCCTCACCTGGCTAACAGCTGTCTGCCCTTCAGAAGGCGGCTCAGGAACCACCTCCTGACCACGCTTCCCCCAGCAATGACACCAGGCGCTCCTACCAGACGGCTGCTCAACTGGTAAAGAACCCGCCTGCCAACGCAGGAGACGCAAGAGATTCCTGGGTCAGGAAGATCCCTGGAAGAAAATGGCAAACCCCTCTAGTATTCCTCTCTGAGAAATCCATGAACAGGGGAGGCTGGCGGGCTACAGTCAACAGGTCACAGACTCAGACCCGACTGAGCACGCACAGACCTGTTCTCACTCTGATCCTCTCGCTGTTGTGACTGCAGCCTGCCTCCTCCTGTAGCCTATGTGCTCCCAGAACACGAGATTACATCTTTCACGTCTGTGTCCCCAGCACCTAACTGGGACCCCCAAAGGCTGAACAAATACAGGATGGAAGAATCAATGAGCCAGAGAACCCAGGCCTGCCCAGGGAGCAGGGAATAAATCTTAAATCAA